CCCCCCCCGGCGGAGGGGGAATGGCCACGCTGCAATCCCTTCTCCTCCTTTCTCCTCTCAGGATCTTGGGCACGCATGCACACGTGGCCTGGCTTGAGTTTAAGCCACCAGGTCCAGGACTCCAACTACATGGGAGTCCAGCAGCATAGCCATTATACTAACTGCTGGTCCTGAGAGAAAATTTTAAAAGATTACAAAATGTTAATTCTAAACCCCTGTCTCAAAATGTGTTTCGTTTGCTAGAAGGTATTTTTATATGTGTTCTGTCCTATATGGATACTCGTTTATGACTTGTAGATATCTAGGCCAGAAACAAGCTGAGTAATTCATTACCAACCATGGAAAAAAAAAGGGGTTAGCCAATTTGGATTGTTTAGCAAAGGGATGATTAAGTTACTTGCAAATTAATTGGTGTTTATTTATCCTTGCATGGCATGTACTATTTGTCTCCATTAAAGGAATTAATAATAACCCTAGCCTGTACCACAGTTAAAAGATGGAAAAGGAATTAAGGTTTTGGCCCAGTTTCCCTTTCCTAATATTATACTGTAGATAAAACTTGTGAGAAGTTGACAAAATTCAAAACGAAGCAGTGTTTTAAAGTTTACTCAGATTCTACAAATTTTAAGAAGTATACAGAATTCAAAGTGAACAATAAAACTTATTTAAAATTCTTTTTTCTTTTTACCCAAGATTGACATCTGGTCCTGAGAACACACTTTTCCACTATGTTGCCTTAGAAACAGTACAAGGAATCTTTATTACTCCTACCCGTGAAGAGGTGGCACAGCTAAGCGGCTCTATTCACTCTCAGCTAATAAAGAATTTCCATCAGTGTTGTCTTTCTATTCGTGCAGTTTTCCAACAAACATTGGTGGAAGAGGTAGGACACTGCTATATAGTTTTCTGCCAATTTCATTTCCAGATCTCTAAATATTCTCTTTACTCTAGCCAATATGAAGGGGTCCTCAAAAAGTTTATGAAAATGCACATTATGAAAAATTATTCATAGATTTCATTTTTCCCCTGTTCCAAAATAAACTGGTATTTAAATTCCTATTTTTCTACAACCTTTTAAAGTTCCCTTATATATCCAGCAATGTTTTAATTTAACTAGGTTTTCTTTTTTTTTTTTAAACAGTCATCTAATCTAACTTGGATGCCCAAAGTATTATACTTATAGTATATTAAGTTACTTCCAAGCCTTGTTTCATAATACTGAGTTTGATGTCCTGGATTATAGGACATGGTATATCTGCATTTGCTATAACAAAGTAGAATATGCTCATTTGTAATATAAATTAACCTTCCATGTTTGATCTCTGTGACTCAGCCATTCCTTGGTCAGTAGTGTCTACCAACTATTCCTAAAATAACTGATAATTCTTTAAGTTTCAGTGAACAGTATAAAGTATTTTGGAACATAATGGTTTAAGGTATAGCTGCAGATACAAGGCTACTGCACATGCTTTAGCACTTAGCTGGTTGGCTGCTTGCTTTCTTTTCTTTTTTTTTTTTTTTTTTAATGATACACTTTTAATATTTTTACAGGTCTCTTTAAATTGGTGCCTACTGGCATTAAACAAGAGTTTTGTATTCAATGTAAAAAGATTTAAAACAGGGACTGGCAGTTAGTGTAATGGCTATGTCGCTGGACTCCCACGTAGTCGATTGCGGTTTGAGTCCCGGACCCCGTGGCTTAAACTCACGCCGGGCGCATGTGTGTGCATGCCCAAGATCCCGAGAGGAGAATGGAGGAGAAGGGATTGCAGCATGGCCATCCCCCCTGGGGGGTGATTTCTCGCTTTCTATCTCTCTGTCTCTCTGTCTGTCTGGCGAGCACATGCGCCCTATGATAAAAACCTCTCAAAAAAAAAAAAAAAAGATTTAGAACATAAATTGACATTAGGTAATAATGAAAGTTCTCTGTGCTGTGCAGAAAACTTAACCTTTTACACATCATCACTCCTAAATAGTTCTAATTAAAATCCAACTGTTCCCATTTTCACGTCATTGTCATTCTTTGGCAAAAGATCCAAAATAACCATGGGTTGGAAAACACCTGTTCACTCATGGTCTTCATTTTGCCACGTAATAAAAAATGTGTTTTATAAAAGGAATCTGCACTGTGTCTGGCTCATAATTATAAATAATTATTATAAGAAGGCAAAAATAATATGCCTTTGTTGATTCATCTACTCCTGAAGCTTTCAGTTGTCGCTCAATCTCTTCATCGGAGATGATAGCTTTTGAAGTAGCAGCAGATGGTAAGCTTCGAGCAGCTGATGGAGCTTTGGCCATCTTTCCAGAAATTTCGATTCCAATTTCATCAAGAACTTGATTCACAATATCCGGCTTTCTTCTTTATCATCAGAGCCGTCAAAGATGTCATTGAGTGTGTCACTGATCATTTCTCCAGTCATTTCCATTTTCATATTTTCCTTCTGGAAATTCTGCATTGTTTGTAGTGTCTTTTGTGGATCCCTCTTCTTGTTAACTGCCTGCATTGTTTTTGCTATGGTAAACATTGCTCCTGCCATCTTCATCTGGGAATTCATCACCTTTGTTTGTGTGGACATAGATGTGACTTTTGAGCTTACAGCAAAAGTTCTTGTTTTCTGTTTCTGTAGATGTACAAGCTGTTTGGCTAAAACCCTACAAGCCTCTTTATTACCAGTTTTGGCCATTTTCTTAATTTCTAATTCCAGCTGTTTTTCTTGTTTCTCTAAAGCTGCTCGATCTCTGATTATAGCCCTCTGTGTGCCTCGTTAACTCTCTATTCTGTTCTTTTATTACATCAGCCACAGTTTTCTTCTTGAAGAGGGATGCCATGGTTTGAGACCGCACCCTAGTGGCCCAACTCGGCCCGGTCCGGCTCATGACTGGGAAAGTACCGGAGGGAGCGGACAGGCCCTTGGAGGGATCGGGGAGGTGGAATGGAGAGGCTGGAAACAGAGAGCAGGATCTGCTTGCTTCTTTTCATTCTAGGACGAAGTTTCATTTAATATTGTACTACCTGCTGGATAAGTAGTAATGCCATATACTACTAAATATCAATTAAATTGTTCTAATGGCAGGGCAAGACAGATACTGATTTCTTGAAAATGATATACATACAGAAGTTTATTTATGACTGGTCAAATAGTATACAGAAAAAAAAAAAAAAACAGAAACACCTTTCTGTTCTGAAGATGGTTGTAGTGTATATATCAGTATGTATATTAAGGATGCCAGATCTTTGAAACTCTTGACTTTAAAAGTGGAAAAATTGGACTAGTAGGTGATGTGATGGTTAAGGTGGCAGGATCCCACCTAGCCATTGGATACCACATGGTTGACAGTGAAGTTCGAGTCCCAACCTGGTGGCTTAAAAAACACACTGGGCACATGTGCATGCATGCCCCAAATCCTGAGAGGAGAAAGGAGAAGGGATTGTGGCATGGTCATCCCTCATGGGGAGTGCTGTCTCACTCTCCTTCTTTCTTTCTCTGGTAAGCATGTGCACCCAATAGCAAATTTTTTTTTTTAAAGTGGAAAAACATTAGGTTGGAAATAAGGAACACTGGACTGAGCCTCAGCTCTTCCTATTTCCTCAACTATAAAGTGAGTGGGCTGGCTGGATATGTCATCCCTCAGGGCTAATTCAGCAGTAAAGCCCTGTGTCTTACAGGCTTCCTTCTTCCAGTTCTTGGAAATTTTTATTCACCAATTTGACCATGTATCCCTATGTGCTTTGGGTTCTTAGGCTCCTCTTTGCCTTACTGATAGATTCTACAAGGGATTATTCTATCAACTTATTTGATAAAACTGAGTAATGTAAATTAGCTTTCTACATCTTTTTAAAAATATTGATACTTTCTCCACACCAGACACTGCTGTGGATGCTTTTATCCTAGAATACAAAGCAAGCAACCAACCAGCTCAGTGCTAAAACATGTGCAGTACCCTTGTGTCTGTTGCTATACCTTAAGCATGGTTATGTTCCAAAATACCTTATACTGTTTACTGAATACTTAAAGAATTATCAATTATTTTAGGAACAACTGGCAGATACTATTGACCAAGTGATGTCTGAGTGACAGCAGCAAATAAAGTCCCTTTCCTCATGAGCCTGTTCTCTAAGGGGGGGAAAAAAGGAATTAGCAAATAGTATGTCAGAAAGAGTAAGTGTCAAAGGGAATAATGATGAGACAGGGGGGCACTATTTTAAAAGGATCATGTCAAAAAATATTTAAAGAGAGACCTGAATGAAGTGAGGATATGAGCCAAGGATCTAGAGGCAGATCTTTCAGACAAAGGGGAACAGCAAGTGTAAAGCCACAGATGGAGGGCTGGGAGAACGCTGGAGCCACCTGAGTGGGAAGAAAAGGAGGAAGTGGAGAGATTGCAAAGGTAGCAGGGCCAGATGGTGCATGATCTCACGGACTTTAGGCTTTGTTTTGAAATGGGTGGAACATTCTTGCATAGTTTTAAGCAGAGGAGGTTCATGTTCTTTATTTCTTTAAAGGATCATTCAGGTTACTGTGGAAAGAACAGGCTATAGGATGGCAAGGGTGGAGGCAGGGACCAGTTAGGAAACTACTAGAATTCTCAAATTTTGGAAAATGAACCAAAACGATTTGCTAATGGGTTAGATAAGGGTTGTGAGGAAAAGGATCACTCCACTGACTTGGCCTGAGCTTTACAAAATGTATATTCCAAATGAGTTATGGTTTATTAACGTTTTAAACAGTGGGAAATTTAGAGATTAAACATCAAAGGAAGAGAAAATACTGCTTTAAACATAGGTATTTTAAACTTATTAGAGAATCATCTATTCAATTAGTATAGACTTATTAAGTACCTACTATGCATCAGGTTCTTTTTGGAGAGGTTTTCGCTATAGGGCGCGTGCACTCACCAGACAGACAGAGAGAGACATAGAGACAGAAAGTGAGAAATCACCCCCCAGGGGGGATGGTCACGCCGAATCCCTTCTCCTCCATTCTCCTCCCGGGATCTTGGGCACGCACGCACACGCACCCGGCATGAGTTCTAAGCCACTGGGTCAAGGACGCGAATCGCGGTTGACTACATGGGTATGTGGGAATCCAGCGACATAGCCATTATGCTAACTGCTGGTTCCCTTTTTTTTTTAATCAGGTTTTAAGAAAAATATGAAGATGAATAGTGCATTGTCTCTACTCTAGAAAAAAAGCTTGCAATCATTCCCAACAGAACACATACCTATAACCTGTTGTTAATGTATTGCAAATATTAAAATAGGGCTGTGAACAAAGTGTTCACTGGAATAGTCAAGGGACATTTAATCCACCTCGTCTCCTTAAGGAGATGATATTTAAACCAAATATTGAGGAAGAGTAGAAATTTTCCCACAGGTAAGAACATCATTGCAAGTTCTTAAGTATTAGGATCAGATGATCCAAATCTATATGTAAAAATATCTTAAAGTAACACTGTTAATACCAGTTAATACTAATAATATTTTTAATTTACAGAAAAAGAAAACATTAAATAGTGGTGATCATTCGGGTTCTACAAACCCAATGTCATCTCTTAAGCCTGTGAGAGAACATGGTGTACTGTTTGAATGCTCACCTGAAAACTGGACTGATCAGAAAAAAGCACCACCAATTATGGCTTACTGGGTAGTAGGGTAAGTAGAAATAAAAGTGTTCGAAAGGAAAACAAAATGTTAGAAATGAAAGAAAAGTGATAAAGGAGATTAACGTTTTTAAAATGTAAGCACATGGAACCAGCAGATGGCATAATGGTTACATTGCTGGACTCCCACGTAGTCAACTGCGGTTCAAGTCCCAGACCCGGTGGCTTAAAACTCATTCCGGGTGCATGTGCACCCAAAATCCTGAGAGGAGAATGGAAGAGAAGAGATTGCGGCATGTCCACCCCCTTAGGGGATGATTTCTCACTTTCTTTCTCTCTATCTCTCCAGTGAGCACATGCATCCTATAGCAAAAAATCTCTCTTAAAAAAAGGAAAGAAAAAAAAAAAAAACGTAAGCCTAGAGTTAGCTTTTTTTTGAATTATTGTATTTTATTTATTGATTTATTTGTATTTTAATTTGACCAGAGAGAGACAGAGTGAGAGAGAGGGACAGTGAGAAAGCAAATCGGGTGGTGGGGGGGGTGGTGATTTCTTACTTCCCCTCTCATTTTCTTTCTGTCTCTTTGGTGAGCACACAAGCCTTATGGCAAAAAAAAAAATCTTAAAAAATAAATGGTATAGTAATATCTATTGATAAAATAGGATTTTTACACTCTATTATCATAAAAATAACCTGAATCTTATATCCCTTCTTTAGAAATAAATCTACTTGCAGTCACCTACTATTTACTTAAATTATAGGTTTTTGAATTTACTATTGATTCTTTCAGCAATAATGAAATAAATTGAAGGGTTAGGGTTTTTCAATTTTTCGTTTTAATTTCTGAAATGAGTGCATTCTTTTCTTCTGCAGGAGACTCTTTCTCCATCCAAAACCTCAAGAACTTTACGTCTGTTTTCATGATTCAGTCACAGAAATTGCCATTGAAATGGCTTTTAAATTGTTCTTCGGATTGACCTTGTAGCTGTTATTCCTGATGCACAGCAACACAAGCATGGAACATTGAACACTACTAGATTGCTGAAATCCATACACAAAACGATAAGGTTTAGCTGCTTTCAACCATTCAGTATTGAACATAAACTTGTTAAGTACTAAAATGAAATGCTCTTGGATTTGATGCATTGAATCTTACATATTGTAGAATTGTGAGCCTCTTGAGAAGATACTTGATCAAAATATGAAGAAAAGATTGTTAACTTATTGTAATATTTGGTATATAATGTTAAATTATTGACTAGTGTTGAAATGTGTTTTATATGAAATTAGTATAGGAAATGTTTTTCTTAAAACAATTAATATTGATATCTGATAAAAAGAAATATGAAATTGGGAGGGGTGACCAATTACTGTAATTAGTGTTGTGACCATGAGGAAGTCTTTGTACCTCTCTGAGTTCAGAATTTTTACAAATGAGATGACTGTATTGAAGTTTCAAAAGTCCTCCTAAGTAAAATATACTACCCCCCCCCCATTTGCCTATTGTTCAGCACGAAAATTTGTAGTGTCCAAATACTTATTCTCTAATCAGGTCAAATACTTATCAGTACTTTAAGTACTTGGTAGTTACTTCACTGTGGAGAAGTGATAGAAGATGAAAAATTAAACTTTTATTTTATTTGATTCTTTCTACTTTTTTAGATAAACTCTATTTTGACCAGGATATGTATTTTTTAAGAACTGTTTGTCTATAAACTTTCAGTTTTTCTTTTTGTTGAAATACATTACAGAGAGGGGCAGGTGGCATGGTGGTTAAGGGTGCTGAACTCTCCCATATGTCCAGCCACTGTTCAAGTCCCAGACCTGGCAGCTTGCCTTCTCACTTTTCCTCTTTCTCTCTCTCTCATTCTGTCCCTCTCTGGTCAAAAACAAACAAACAAACAAACAAAGTTAAATAAAATAATTTTAAAAAAGAAAAGGAATAATTTAAAAAAGAAAGAACATTAGGTTCACACACACATTTTATACAATTCATGAATTAAAGAGAAACTGTACGTAAATCTTTTTAAAAATCATATTATGTTAAAAACACTGGAAAAGCTGGCTTAAAAAATCCTATGGTGACTTCTTTTGTTAACTACTAAGTTTTGTCTTATAAATATAGATCGCTATGTATTGGATTTCCCCAAAGGAACAATTTAGTGAACAGTCATTTACTTGACTTTTAGTAGGAAAAGAAAACTAACGAGAATTTTTTGGGGTTGTGAGAATTTAGTAGATTTAAAGAAAGGAAGAACATAACAAATACTGTATAATTAATTGACATCTACCCAGTGAATCCTCCTGGAGACTCAGATGCCCCTGGAACTTAAACATACTGGATTATTTCTTCTTTATGACTTAAACATTGAAAACAAGGTATATTGACACATCTAAAATCACTCTTTGCATTTCTCCTGCCTCAAACATGAGCCCTCTAGGTTAGTCAGCACTAACTGCAAAACAGTGGGTAGTACACCATTTGAATTATTTGGTGTTAGAAGAAACATTTTTTTAAAAAATATTTTATTATTTTTTTAATTTGACCAGAGAGAGAGAGAGAAAGGGAAAGTGAGAAAGCAAGCTGCTAAGTCTCAGATTTAAACTGTGATTTGCCATGGGGGAGTCCAGCGCCTTAACCACTATGCCACCTGCCAGTCCCAGAGGAAACATTTTTATCCCTCTTTCAGTTTAACAGGTTTTCATCTAGGCATTTAAAATGTAAACCATGGACTATTTGTCCCATTAGCAACCTGTGGACCTTAATTTTGGCATTCAAGTCACTGTAAGAAACCTTACTTAGCTCTTGAAAGGTAGAAAATAACTTGAAATAGCCTTCCTCAAGATCACAACATTGAGTCAAATCGTAGACTTAACTACTGTCTTAAGACTACTTGTGAACATTTTTATTTATTAAGGCACCTTGTTTAAAAGTATTTATTAAATGTCTTAAATTTCTAGATGTGTCTCCCAAAACACTATGAGCTATTTTTGCTACTGAGAATTATTAATAATAAATGCAGCTATTAATCACCTCAGATTTTCAGACATACTGAAGTAAGACTTGGGGTTTTATGATAGGAAATTTTTTTTGTCTCATTTAGAGAACTTTTGATTTATTAAGCTATTATTCTAGTGTCACATAATCCTGAGATACTGCCCAATAACTGAAATTAAAGGACAGAGTAGATTACTGATTTTAATCAAAGGAAAACCATTTACTATTTGTAGGTGTGCACTGTAATTTTCATGTTATGGGTGCAGCACTGCATTTTTAAGAAATAAAACAACATATTATCTTGTTTTCCATCTCTACATGGATATTGAAGTAAACATTACAGGTAAAGTTAGCTGCCTATTTTTCCAAATATGTCCAGATTCACATCTGAAAGTAGATCAATCTGATTATTGGACAATAAAGTGCCTATCACTTTATTAAATAAAAGGAGACAACATGAAAGTGAAGATACCCTAGAGGTATGCTTTAGCAGCTATATAAACATTCTTGTTAGATTTCATTACTATTCCCTTCCACCAAATGCTATTAATGTAAAAAACTATATATAGCCAACATTAAAATATCAAGTACTGTCTTACTATAATTTTTTTAGCCCTCACAAATAACATTTTGGACAGTTTCTCACTTACTTCCTCATTTTCTCTTTCCTCCGTCTCTTACCTTTCTTTTGTTCTTTTTTATGTCATGTCAGAGAACTGTACCTAACAAATATTTCTTATTTGTGCCATCGGACTATTGATACACACTGCAATGCCTGCTGATTTATATATCTAAATCAAATGGCTATGAAACTAATTTACTAGGTTTGTCTGCTTTGGACGTTACTGTTTTAGTGCTTGCTGAATAGTGCCTGGCACATATTACACTCTAGAAAAATGTTAGCTGGTGCTATTACCAACACCATTTGTTATTATTAGCTATCCATTAGTTGAAAACCAAGGAGTCAGCGAAATCACACTTGCTATTGTACAAAATGTTGGAAAGAAGCTGAGAAAAATTATTCATCACTAAAGCGTTTGAGACTAAGGATTTATACTTTTGCTATCTTTAAATATATTGTTATTAAAACTTTAACATAATATACCAAACTGTATGAAATAATTTAATTTTTCAGAGTTGTATTTCTACAGTCTATATAATTAAAGCTATTTTTATATTAAATTGATAGTTTCAAATAAAAATGGTTTGAAGTTTTGTTTGCAGTTGTGGTGCCTGTTCATGCATTCATCCGAGAAATACTACATTTCTACCCTGTGCCAAACACTGTTTTGGAGTCTGAGTTTATAGCAATGAGCAAAACAGCTAAAAATTCCTGCCCTCATGATAAGAGTTTATATTCCAATTAAGAGAGACAGATCACAGACAAGTAAAATATGTTAGTAAATAAATACTAAGAGAAAAAAGTAGTGGAGCAAGAGGATGGAATATGAAATGCAGCAGATAAAGAGCTGACAGGGAAAGGACTGCTGAAGTAACCCTAGACATTAAATAAGTGAGACTAACCATGCTGATTTTTAAGGAGGACAGAGTAAACAAGGCAAAGATCTGAGACTCTACACTTTTTTTTGTAGAGGTTTTGCCTTAGGGTGTCTGTACTCACCAGACAGAGAGAGAGAGAGGGAGGAAAGGAGAGAGAGAGAGAAATCACTCCCCGGGGCCATGGCCATGCCACAAGCCCTTCGCCATTCTCCTCCTGGGACTTGGGCACACACCGGTGGCCGGCACATGTTACAAGCCACCTGATCCGGGACTCAAACTGCAGTATGCCATGTGGGAGTCTAGCAGTATAACTGCTACACCATCAGCTGACCCCTCTACACTTTCAATATCAATATAATCATTAGCATTCTTTTCTTCCCTAATTCAATAAATCACTGCATAAATAAATGCAATCCGGCAAGTTAAAAAAATACACATTTTTAACTCCAAAGTGAGAAGAGCTGATTCAGAGCTTTCAATAAGGTTTATCTTTTTATTTATTTATTTTTTAATTGCCAGAAGGCATGTGTGTTCATGGTATAGAGGCGAAAAGAGAAAGCATTTCTCCAATGGGGTGTGGTCATTCCACAATCCTTTTTCCTCCATTTTTGCATCCTGTCAGGATCCTGTACACACATACACACTTGTCCAGCATGGTTTTCAAGCAGCCAGGGTCAGTATTCAAACCAGTCAGTCATGTGGAATTTGGTTCCCTTAACCAGGATCCAAGAGGCTGGCCCAAATCCTACATTTCTAAGTAGATATGTTCACTTTTGTCTGTCTTCTATCAGTGAATACGTATTAGAAATAAGCTGGCTATCATAAAGGAACATACTATAAGCACTAAAATAGTAAGTCAAATGTGGAAGTGGAGAGAAAACTGTCCTGGAAATAGCAGGACACTTCCTCTTCTGTTCTCACAGATACCTATGTTCCCTGTGATCAGAGATAGTTCTCGTTAATGCTTCACATCCTTTTAAAGAAGACTGAAACCTTATTTTTTAGATTTTCCCTGATGAAAAGCCAATTACTTCTTGAATGTAAAATTGATTTCACAAAGGATTTTTAAGTCAATGCCATAAGAAGATGTTAAATTTTTTTTAATCCTTGGAATAACAATTAATGCAACTGCATCAGAATGATTAATCTGAATATTAATAACAGCATGTAAAATGGAAAGAAACCTTAAGTTAAAAAAAGTTAAGGGGCCAGGAAGTGACATGGTGGTTGAGGTCGCTGGACTCCCACATGCCCAACCGTTTTTGGATCCCAGACCTGGCAGTTTGCTTTCTCACTTTCTCTTTCTCTCTCTCTGTCCCTCTCTGGTCAAATTAAAATAATTAATATAAATAAATAAAGTTAAATAAAATAATTCTTTAAAAAAAATAGATCAGTTAAGAGTTGAATAAGCTGTTATGGAAAAGAGATAGAACCAAACACGGTATCAGAAAAACTTGTTAACTAGTTTTATGTGAAGTAATCAAAAATTACCAAGAGTAATAGTCTAGAATCCTGGCTTAAGTATTTTTGGTTGTTTTTGTTTTGTTTTTCACTAACGATAAGTAGTATTGGAAGGATTATGACACATTTGAGATAATATAGACCTAAAATTCAAAAAAGCCAAAAACTCACCTCATGTTCTAGTGAGTGTGTTTCTAGGTTCTACAG